CCTAGATGGGCAGCAAGGGAAGATTTGTGAGAGAAGAAAGTGAGTTCCATTTTTCATCTAAGTTTGAAGACTCCTGGAGACCTTTGGATGGTTAAGTCTACTAAGTGTCTAGAAATAACTGTCTAGAGCCTGAGACAAATGTGCAGATAAGAGATAGAGATTGGACAAGTTGAATTTATAAAGTAATATTTGAAAAAAGACCATACCCTTTTATGTAATGATGTTTACTTTGAATTTATATTAGTTCACACAAACACTCCATCCATGCTTTTGTTCCGGCCCTCCGGTCCAGTTTAAGAACCCATTGTGGCCCTCGAGTCAAAAAGTTTGCCCACCCCTAGTCTAGAGCCTGAGACAAATGTGCAGTTAAGAGATAGAGATTGGACAAGTTGAATTTATAAAGTAATATTTGCTCAGAGGGTCCTAGCCCCCAAAGGAATTTTCCAAAAGACCCCTAGCAAAACATCTGGGTTTCAGTTTCCTCTGTTGTAAAAATATATCCTATATAAATAAAAAGATAATATGTAAATGGTTGTCACACCCTCACGCCATCATGCTGTAAAGGCTTAGGCACTCAACACTGGGGAGAGAGGAATGGCAACCAGCCAGGCTGCGGCCCGGGAGAGGGATACGCCATCCGCCCCACAGTTTGGGGCACCAACAGCTGCACCTGCACCTGCAGCTGCAGCCCAGGAGAGGAGACAAGCCGCCCGCCTCGTGGTCCCAGGCTCCTGTGGCTGTGGCCCGGGCAAAGCTGCCTGCCCACAGTTCCCTGCGGCTGCTGCCAGTCTGGGCAAAGCTGGCCTGGGTCCTGGGTGTCTGCGGCCAGCCAGAGGGAGGGAAGCCCATGTCCTGGGTGCCTGCAACCAGCCGGAGGAGGGAATCCTGGGTCCTGGGTGCAGGATGAGGCAGAAGCGGTTAGGGGCAATCAGGCCAGCAGGGGAGCAGTTAGGAGCGATCAGGCAGGCAGGAAGAGGTGGTTAGGAGTTATCAGGCAGGCAGGCAGGCAAGTGGTTAGGAGCCAGTGGTCCCAGATTGCGAGATGCTGTCAGACATCCCCCGAGGGGTCTTGGATTGGAGAGGATACAGACACCCGCCCCCCCCATGCACAAATTTCATGTACCAGGTCTCTAGTAATAATATTAATAATAATAATAGTAATAATAATAATACTTGCTACTTGCTCTACCTAACTCAAATGATTCTGAAAGGGATTGAATGATCTCTTAGTGAAGGTACTTTTAATATTAAATTGCTATACTATGCTAGTAATATTCATTTAGGAAAACCAAGAATAAGACTAACTACAGTGTAATTACAGTAGAGAATCTGACCCATTCTATTCCTCTCATATGCAAATGTACCCAAATGAAACAGCCCATCTTCTTTTTATTTAATTAGAGCCACTCTCTATCAGTGATGGCGAACCTTTTGAGCTCGGCGTGTCAGCATTTTGAAAAACCCTAACTTAACTCTGGTGGAATTTAAGAAGAAAGTAAATTTTTTTTTTAAATATATTTTATTGATTTTCTACAGAGAGGAAGGGAGAGAGATAGATAGTTAGAAACATCGACCAGCTGCCTCCTGCACATCTCCCAAGGGGGATGTGCCCGCAACGTTCGCCATCACTGCTCTATATGATGATACAGGACTTTAGCTCATAGAGCAAAATCTCTTTGATTTTTAAATGCATAGAATTTAAGAAGAAAGTAAATTTTTAAAAAGATTTTTCCCAGGTAACTAAACAACTAGCTGGACTTCCTTCTTTATACCCAAATAGCTCTACCATGGTGGGGGCAAGAGGGAAGGTCAAAGAAAGAAAAGATTATAAAATTATGAGTTTGCATTGCATCCTGCTTTGGCTATGAACCACTAATTATGAAGAACTGGTTGGTGTCCAGAATCTTTATAGTCAGGGTTTGCTAATTACTTGTTTGCACAAGGGATACACGATCCTCTGAAAACCTCTTTTATCCTCTGAAAACCTCTTTTTTTCCCTTTAAATCACGAATTCTTGGAATTAATAGATAATTTTACTGAAAGGATCAGACCAGTTAGCAGAAGAATAGTGGTGATTTGGGGTTATATTCTGCTAGGTAGCATGCTACTTTGAATTACCTTCACAATATTATCTGTAAGAGAGCATTTTCCTTCCTTGCATTTTCTGCATCTATCATACCATTGTTAGCACCACAATGGGGAAACCCTAAAAAGCTGTTCATGAAAATAATTTAAACATGAACTTGTGCTCTTAGATACAACTACACTTGCAGAGCTCCCCCACCTCATATTCAAAAGCACCCACACTTATCTGGTCTCTTTTTCTACATTCTCCTAAAAGAGGGGGGGAGTGCATTCAGTGTGTAAAAATAAGCTATTGTAGCTCAGAAAGGAGATGGGATGCTAATTAAGGGTTCTTTGAATGAACAAGTCATATTGCATTGTCTTCTGGGAGCTGGCTGCCAATTGCATTTTTGGTAAAGAGTCAAGAAAAACATTCAAGAGGGCCCCGGCAGGCTTGGGAGAGAAGCAAGTAGTACTTCCATTTATCAAGTAGGTGCACAAGCCTGTTCAAGTATTGTTGAGAGGCAGGGTGCAGCCTGGGAGCTCCTGCCTCCAAGCTTTTCCTGCCGGTTTTGAGAACCACCTTCCCGAAGAGGGGCCTGCCGCTCAGATCTGTGCGGCATGTAAGCCATACTGCGGGACCCCTGAATGCCTCTTTCCTTTTCAAGACTTTTTTCCCCAAGATTCTTTGTCTCTTCTTGGATTCATCCAGGAGGCAGGGGTTTTAAGATATACAATAGCTCAGGTCTTGCAGCGAAATAATTGATGCTCCGTTGAAAGACACCAGGCAAATTGGTTAGTATGATTATCTTTAACAAGCCGGGGAAATTTTAGGCATTTGACAACTCATAAATGAGGAGGGAAATAAATTGCTCTATTTTTGAAAGGTTTTTTTCCCCCCTTAATGTTAATGTGATGTCAGCGAGAGTAAGCCTTTAGCCTGATTGCCTGACAGCTGTGGGTGTGGGGCAGCCTGTAAACAGGGGTGAAGTGATTTACTTGGTTTGGAAAGGGACCAGAATATAGAGGATGCAAATGTGTTTTTATTGTAACGGATCAGAGATACAGTGAGTCAACCAGGTGAAGGGCCTTTCTTCGTGACCCTATCTTTGGAATAATTAGTACTTAGCATGATAGGATCCAGGAGGTGTGTTTCTGATACTTGGCATGTTCTGTAATTATGTGCTTCTTTTACTGCCGTATTGAATTGTAAGTTCTTAAGTTTTTCAAGTGTGATCATATTCCTTTGGCCTCTATGTGAAGAAACAAGTGTCTTGGACACTGAAAGGTCCGATGGCAGGCAACAAGTGAAGGAGTTTCCCTATAAATGTGCATGTGTGCTTGGAAGAAGATAAGTGCTATCTAAACAATACTTCTCAAGTTAACCCTGCCTCCCTGGCAACTGCAATAAACATCAACTGTCACCCTTTACTTTCTTAATCACTAAAATATGTGCTAAAAATTTTAATAGGTCTTTTGCAGTTGGTTAAAAGACAAAATAATAAATGATATGTGTGCCTAAATCTAATTTCATAGTTTTCTTTTAAGAATATAGCTTGGACATAATAATATAAAATTTAATGCCGGATATAATTCATAATTAATGATCACTTTCTATGGAAGCTATAAAGCCCAGTAATTATAAAATAGAACACTAGTAATAATAATCCTATATAATAAAAGGCTAATATGCAAATAGATTGAACGGTGGAACCATCGGTCACTGACCACCAGGGGGCAGATGCTCAATGCAGGAAATTCCCTCTGGTGGTCAGTGTACTCCCACAGGGGAAGCACCACTCAGCCAGAAGCCAGGCTCTCAGCTGGCGAGCGCAGCAGCGGTGGCAGGAGCCTCTCTCGCCTCCGTGGCAGCACTAAGGATGTCCGACTGATGGCTTAGGCCCTCTCTCTGCATAGAGCGGGCCTCAGCTGTCAGTCAGACATCCCCTGAGGGTTCCCGGAATGTGAGAGGGCGCAGGCTGAGCTGAGGGACTCCCCCGAGTGCCTGAATTTCGTGCACTGGGCCTCTAGTAAATAATAATAATAATAACAGCACCATGTTTTGAGTGCTTTTTATTTGCCTGGCTTGGTTCTAAGTGCTTTCCACAGAGTAAATCATGAAGTAACTGAGGCCAGAGAGATTGAGTATCTTGCTGATGGATTCACAGCAAATAATAAGTAGAACCAAAAGGCGAACCCAGGCTCTCTGGCCCAAAGCCTACACCTTAACCACAATATTATATTGCCTTGTTTGTAATATGATTATTATTATGGTTATTAAACCTTTCAAAGAGCATCCATTATAAAAATATTTTAAAGTAATTTTGTTGTACATCCATTGTAATGGACCCCATAGGTGAAATGACCATTGCTCCTGAAATATATACTCCCATACAGGCATTAATTGTCATTACCTCTGCCTCCCATACGAGAGGAACTTCACCCTGTGGTGTCTACCACATTGCAGATGCTCAGTAGACACTTCCACTCAATGAAGCAGGAAAATGTGACTTGCCTCAGTCATCATGAGAAAACATTTCTTTTATTTCTAGTCATTATATGATCAACTCGAATGTGTGGATATTAATTTCTCAATTCCTAATTAAGTTTTTAGTTCGTTCTTAATTTTTCTGTGGAGTTTTGGGAAATTCTACCTTTAGTTTTTGGTATGGGATTAGTAGCAATAGTGTTTGCCAAGAACATGCAACACTTGATACTTCATTTTAAAAAAGCCCTTTTGAGATGTAATTTACATGCTGTAAAAATCAAGTTTAATGTGTACAATTCAGTGGTTTAATACATTCACAGAATTGTAAAAATTGATACCTGATTTTTAAAAAACTAAATAAGAAACTCTTGAGATGCTTGAATGAGAAGTACTCCAAGGCCAATGAATGTCATTAATACTTGCTGTGTTCTTCTTTCTCCTTCATCAGAAATGTGTGCTATACTGGCCCGAAAAGAGAGGAATTTATGGAAAAGTCGAGGTTCTGGTTATCAATGTAAATGAATGTGATAACTATACTGTTCGAAACCTCGTCTTAAAGGTAAGATTACATGGCTATAGCTATCTACAAAGTAGATGATACTAGAGCAGTGGTCAGCAAACTCATTAGTCAACAGAGCCAAATATCAACAGTACAACGATTGAAATTTCTTTTGAGAGCCAAATTTTTTAAACTTAAACTATATAGGTAGGTACATTGTTATTAACTTTATTAGGGTACTCCTAAGGCTTAAGAAGAGCCACACTCAAGGGGCCAAAGAGCCGCATGTGGCTCGAAAGCCACAGTTTGCCAACCAGGGGAGAGGGATAACATTTATACTTTGAAATTATTATCCTAATAAATGTTACAGATTTAATTTAAACCAATTAAATACTGTAAAGAGGAAAGAGAAATCATAATCCTCCCCTCGTGTATTTCTTTGTTGTCAGCTACAATTAAATATGGAATAATTAAATAAGTGTATATGAAGGAAATTTACTAAGTAGGATGTTATTATATAATTTGCATAAATAAGAGATCTCTTGATTTAACCTTTTGAATGCCTTTAGCTAAAGGCTTGTTCTAGAGACTTTGCCATGATGTTTTTTAGTGTCACTTCGGCTTATGCAGCTCTAAGTAAGACCTGGAGACTCTGAGAGAGAAAATCTGTGCTTGTGGGTGGCTGTGGGAGGCAAGACGAGCCTAAAGTGTTGACGAGATCTTCCACACTTGGAGTTACAGTAATTTATAGCAACTTTCCCCAGACCAGATTACATCAGAGGAAAATTATCTATTTCACTTACGGGCAGCAGATGCTGAGGAATGTTGCCATGGTATTGTTTCTGATTCCAGAGAACAATCCTCTCAAAGGTTTCAGTTCCACCTAGAGCCTCACAGTCATCACAGAGAGACCAGGGGCAGGGCTGCTCTGGTGGTTTTTAATGAGAAGCTGGGGGTAGGAAGGCACCTACCAAAGCCTGTTTTAAAAATATATATTTTATTGATTTTTTACAGAGAGGAAGGGAAAGGGATAGAGAGTTAGAAACATCGATGAGAGAGAAACATTGACCAGCTGCCTCTTGCACACCCGCTACTGGGGATGTCTCCACAACCAAGGTACATGCCCTTTACCGGAATCGAACCTGGGACCCTTGAGTCCTCAGGCTGACGCTCTATCCACTGAGCCAAACCGGTTAGGGCCCAAAGCCTGTTTTTAAACCTATGTCCTAAGTGCCTAGATCATGCCAGGACCCCACATGGACCTTCCCTCAAAGCAATTCTAATCTAGTGACCCCTGTAGCCTCTTTATTACTGGAATTTCTCACTGCTGTTAAAAAACGGAATTTGGGATGAGTGTAGAAGTATTACAGTGATTGCATGTAAAAGTGTGCTTTTAGATTGGTTAATATGTTTTCAGTAACATGTCAGGAAAGTTCAAAGAGCAGGAAGCACACTATCTCCCAATTCTTTCTTGGCTACCTTTTCATCTACCATTGTGTTCATTTGAAATTATTATCCTAATAAATGCTACAGACTTAATTTAAACCAATTAAATACTGTCAAGATGAAAGAGAAATTATAATCCTCCCCTCGTGTATTTCTTTGTTGTCAGCTACAATTAAATATGGAATTATTAAATAAGTGTATATGAAGGAAATTTACTAAGTAGGATGTTATTATCTAATTTGCATAAATAAGAGATCTCTTGATTTAACCTTTTGAATGCCTTTTGAATTTACTAGGATTAGTAAATTACAAACATAGATTTAGTTTATGTTACGTATCACTTTCTATACTAAATATATATTTTCATTTCTTTTTCTGCTTTATTTTCTTTTTTAAAATTTTTAATTAAATTTATTGGGGTGACATGGGTTAATAAAATTATATAGGTTTCACATGTACATCATATGTGTATCATTGTGTATCATTTAATAGAGGCAAGACTGTCAAACTTTGATATCAGGATATTTACAGTAAAGCTTTCTCAAGGTGAAAGATTGTTCTTCAAAAATCACCTAGAGCCCTGGCTGGTGTTGCTTACAGGTTACAACATCAGCCTGAACATGGAAGGGTCTCAGGTTCGATACCTGGCCTAGTTGGGGTGCATGCAGAAGCAACCAATCGATGTGTCTCTCTCATATTGATGTTTCTCTCTCTTTCTCACTCTTTCTCTCTTTCTCCCTCCCTTCTTCCCTTCCATTCTCTTTAAAAATCAATGGAAAAAATATCCTCAGGTGAGGATTAACACACACACACACACACACACACACACACACACAATTTACCACCTAGAAATAAGTTGACAGCAAGATGGGAATGAGAGAAGGCATGCAGTATTGTGGTTTGGATGACTTTTAGTTACAAAAGTAAATGAGGCACTTGGTGGCTGTTGCTATTTTCAGCAAGGAAGTCACACCCAACATGTGAAGCATTACTGGTACACCTCATGGCCTGATCACAAGACTCCAGACAGTGCGCAGCCCCTTCTACAACTCATGCTGGATGTAGAAGAAGACAGACTTGCTTCTGCAGGCCGAGGGCCTGTGGTTGTCCACTGCAGGTAAGGCACGAACTTCCCTTTCCGCCTAAGCAAACAGGCCATCCTTTGTAAAGTCATAGAGTAGCTAGAAGTTGGGTTTTCCTTCTTAGTTGTGACTTTGTCAGTAAGTTAAATATTTATTGAAATTGGTTGACTTCCTCATATTTGAGTCTTGATCAAGATGATGTTTACAGTGACAGTATAAGGGCATTTTTCAGCAAGCAATTATACAGTGGAAGAAATATCACTTCTGAATAAATGGCTCAGGAAATTGGCCAATTCAGTCCTCTACCTTGAAACTTATTTTGATTCATTTCATTTCATCAGTATAATATACACTAGAAATTAACTATTAGTGGCTTTTTTTGTTGTTTCAAAATGGCACCTGAACTATACTTGAATTTTATCTTGGTAACATGTATTATTATTTCACATTTTAAAAGTTAGTTCATGAAAAACAGATGGAAATAAATTATTAAATGGTACATGGTCAAGTGGTAGTTCCCCAAAAAGAAAACAAGCCCAGCTGCTGTGGCTCAGAAGTTGAGTGATGACCTATGAACCAGAGGGTCCCTGGTTCAATTCCCCTTCAGGGTATATGCCCGAAATCTCCAGTAGGGGGCATGCAGGAGGCAGCCAATCAATGATTCTCATCATTGATGTTTCTCTCTCTCTCTCTCTCTCTCTCTCCCTCTCTCTCTCTCCCTTCCTATCTGAAATCAATAAAAAAAAATTTTTTTTAAAAAAAAAAGGAAAACAAAGTGCTGTTACTGAAACATGGGCTACTGGAGGTTCAGCCAACAAAAGCAACAGATGCCCTTGGTGGTCCTCTTCCCTCAAAGCTTTCCTCTCACAATGGATACCTCATCCTCCTTGTTTTCCTTTTAGTGTGCCCCCCAAGAAGCAACTATTTTTAAAGATATTTTAATAACTAGCCACTTATTCTTAATACTTTCTCAAAACACTGTAATTTTTGTTGCTTCATTTAATGTCATGAGTCTTGTAGGATAGCTTTTGATGATATCTTTAATAAACAAAATACATTATTTTAGATCAGAGGTGGGCAACCTTTTTTCTGCCAAGGGCCATTTGGATATTTATAACATCATTCTTGGGCTGCACAAAACTATCAACTTAAAAATTAGCCTGTAGCCCTAACTGGTTTGGCTCAGTGGATAGAGCATCGGCCTGCGGACTGAGGGGTCCCAGGTTCCATTCCGGTCAAGGGCATGTACCTTGGTTGCGGGCACATCCCCATTGGGGGGTGTGCAGGAGGCAGCTGACTGATGTTTCTCTCTCATCTATGTCTCTAGCTCTCTATCCTTCTCCCTTCCTCTCTGTAAAAAATCAATAAAATATATTTTTTAAAAAATTAGCCTGCTATATTTGGTCATACATTTCATTAACTCGCCCCTAATGCCATGGCAGGGCCAGACCAAATGATTTCGATGACCTTAGACTCTCCCATGGGCTGGATGTTCCCCATCTCTGTTTTAGATGATAATTTTAGCCTCCTTCTTTTTTGAACTTTTGTGGTTTAATTAAGAGTAAAATTTACTATATGTCTACTTATTCAAAAGCATCATTATCCAACTTTTAGCATTAAGCTTTATCCTAAACTTAGCTTGGGGCTGAGGAAAACTAACCTAATTGGCCATCCTTTAGGCTGGAACTGTCCCCCACCCAAAATCATAAAACACTGAAGATATATAAAATGAACTAGTTACTTCTCCTGCAAAATCAGCTCCCCTTCTGATTAGTATTTCTAAGAGCGAGACCATCTTTCTTCCAGGCATTCAACCTCTAACATTGACAGTTATCTTTGGCCTTTCTCTTAATTCCAGCCTCAGTATCTAATCAGTCACTAGATGGGCTTTCCCTTCAAAGCTCCCATAATCTTCACTTCCTGTCCAAATACCCAAGTTCAGGCCCTTATGATCTCATTCGTATATTTTAGAAGTAGTCGGCTAATTGCACACACACCCCATTTCCCCAGGCCCATCCCCACTATGGCCTCCCCAATGCACTTCTCTGCAATGATGCTCCTGAAATCCTCTTCCATCACATGGATTCCCTGCTCAGAACTTCTCAATGGCTTCCCATTGCCTAGAACAAAAGTTCATAACCTTGGGTCTATGCATGAGCTACAGGAGTCAGAGAACTCCTTGAAATTACTTAAACAAATTTGAGTATCTAATGTTATGTGAGTTTTATTGAAAAGTGAAATGTCTTAGTTTTCATCAAATTCTAAAATATAAAAAAGTTTTAGAAGATAAAGTCCAAACCTCTTGGCTTTCCATGTGAGACCCTTAATGGGTCTCAGTGTACCTTCCCAGCCTTCTTTCCCACTATTTCTCTCAAACAATTCTCTCTTCAAGCCAAACTTAACCTACTCATTGTTGCCTTAAACCCTTCTCATGCCTGAAATTTTTTCTCTCATTTGTGTTAACCAAAATGCCTGCCATTCATACGGTACAGTTCAAATCCTCTATCTTTAATGAAACAAACTCTTGATAGACACTTCAACTAAAGGGGGCCCATTCTATTTCAGAATTCCTTTGCACTCACATTCACAGAAACAAGCTATTTGAGTGCCAAAGGGGGAGCTATTAATTCAAACTAGGAAGTTTAAAGAAAATCTCTAAACATTGGAATAATGTTGAACAGGATCTTTAAAAATGACCAATGTTTGTGGTGTTAAAAGATGGTAGGGAGGGCATTTTTTCACTGAAGAAATATCATCAACATCAACACAGAAAGGAAAACTGGAAAACTAAAGGCATTTTTTTGCAATGATTCATGTAAATGAAAAAAAATGGCACAAAGGGTACAAGGACTACAATAAAAAGACATTCAGCTTGAAAATTAGTCACATTCATATTATTCAAGGTCATGAATACCGTAGTAGGGAGCTTCGATGTTGTGCTATAATGATTGGGAGCCATCTACAGTTTTGAGTAGCGAGTAATATGATCAGGTCCCTAGCAGCTGAGTGTATTGTGAATTAGTCCAGAAAAAGTCCAGAGACTTGGAACCCATAATGAGATCATTGCTAATCATAAAGTAAGATGTCAAAAACGTGAGCACAGTCTATAGAAAGGAAAGAAGGGGGATCACAAAGCTCAGTAAAGGTGGAAAATAAAGGAACTGGTAACAGGTTGAATGTGGGAGGTGAGGGGGGGAGATGTTGAAAATGTCTCCAAGATTTTGCAGCTGGAAAACTTGGGGCTGACTAGTAATGCCATTGAGGGAAAATATAACCAACTCTGTTTAGATGCACTGAGATGAAGCAAGTGCAAAATAGTAACATCCACAGACTGAACTAGGAGATGGAATGTCAATCTAGAGTTTAGGAGAAACTTAGGGAATTTAAGTGTAAATTTAAAAGAAATTTACATGAAGACTATTAGTGGAGGGAGAGAGAGAGAGAGAGAGAGAGAGAAGGGAGAGAGAGAAAGAGAGAGAGAGAAAGGGCTTGTTAGGTTGATGACATACTGTTGAATGCAGAAAAACGTATAAACTCCCTGGACAGTAGTGTTTCTATCCAACTATAAATAACTTAGAAATATGTACCTCTAGTACTTCCTCTCTCCTAAACTGAACTGAATTTTCAGTTATTCACGAGAATCTTCACCATCAGTATATCCAAGACCAAACTCAAGTCAGCCCTCATTCCAGAATTCCACCTTTGTCTCATGGGGACTACCTTTCTTCCAGTCCTGGTCATCTTTGACTTTTTCCTTTTCTGACTGTTCAACTCCAGTCCTTCAGACTCACATTTGTGATGTCTCTTCCCTCCTTCTTTAGTGCCCATACCTTACCTAAATTCAGACCCTAATTATTCTTTGTAGACCAGTTACAATACACTTTTCACTTTTCTCCTCACCCAACACCTCCCTCCACCCTACTCAACTTACTGCATATAACTAAAGGAGAGAATGTGTGTAATCACTTAGCACAGAGCCCAGGTTGTAATACTCAGTATATGAGAGCTGTTGGTGTTGCTATTGTTATTCATCCCAGCTGTTGTTTCAAATTTAGAGGTACCTTTTAAAAAATATATTTTATCTTTGCTGTTTTCCTTCCACCTTTTTATTCTTTGTCCTTTCTTTTTAGTGCAGGGATAGGTAGGACGGGGTGTTTTATTGCTACATCCATTGGCTGTCGACAGTTGAAAGAGGAAGGAGTTGTGGATCCACTAAGCATTGTCTGCCAGCTTCGTGTAGACAGGTGAGTGTCTGTGGGATTGGGTCATAGAGATCAGCGCATCGTTACCTGTCACAACCTGCTCTGACCAGCCTGACTTTGCAAACATCACAGGCTCCAAAGTCCTAAATCTCTGTAGTGATTTGTGTAAAGTGCTTAAGAATATACATTATATTCAAAAGCCAACAAAGTAAGTGTTGTTTGCAATACTGACCATCAGGAGTCCAAAACCAGCCTGGCCGGGGTGGCTCGGTTGGTTGAGTGTCATCCTGTGCACTGAGAGGTTGCCGATTTGATTCCTGGTCATGGAATATACCTGGGTTTTGGGTTCAATCCACGTACATATGGAAGGCAACCAATTAATGTCTCTCTCTCACATCTCTCTCTCTCTCTCTCTCTCTCTCTCTCTCTCTCTCTCTCTCCTCTAAGCATGCCCTTGGAGAGAGAGAGGGAGAGAGAGAGAGAGAGAGAGAGAGAGAGAGAGAGAGAGAGAGAGAGAGAACAAGACCAAAAGCTTATGCTTAATCCTTCTTTGTCTCTGATGCAGGTTGTTTGTGGTGGTAACTCTTCCTTCTTAGTCTACAGCCCTATTCCTTACATACTCTGTATTTTCATTTGACTTAACTGAATCATCCACTTTTGACTCCAAAGTCCTCATCTTGATCCTTTAAAATGAGGTATATGTCATACTACCAAGAGCGCCCCCTTTTTTAATTGTGAAAAATACGCGTAAAATTTACCATCTGATAAATTTGGGGTGACATCTTAGTGGGTATAAGGTGAAACAGTCATTTTTATACATAGATCATTTGATCACTTTTGTGATGATCCCTGCTTATGTGTTGAAAAGAGAACAAAAAAGAACTTTTCTTCCTTTCACCCCAACAATGCCTACCTGGGTATGTGAATAGGTGAGCCAGTGATGGAGAAAGTGCGCAGGTGCTCCTTGAGAACAGACACAGACAGAAAGAAGGCTGTTGTACCAGCATATGAGCAGCCGACCTCGGCTCTGTACTTCAATATGCTGTAGTGGAAGAAGAGCTGCTCTGAAAGGCTGAAATACTGGGCTCTCTTCTTTCATTCATACAGCGAATACTGATTACTCACCTCCTGCCCAGGGCATTGTTCCAGATACTGCCAGTGCAGCATTGGATGGCATGAGTGAGGCTCTACTGTCCTAGAGTTTACATGCTAACAGAGAGAGAGGAGATCATAAACAAGCTAAGAAATAAACAGGATAATTTCAGACAAAAATAAAAGCTGAGAGGTAATAAAAAAGAGAGAGAGGGAGATTTTGCTCTGTGACCTAGAGTTTCCTAAAAGTAAAATTAGAGTCACCTTTTAAGATTCATTTGATAAATATCAAGCACCTACTAGGTCCTGAGATTTCGATGAGACAAAGATTTTTCTTAAAATTCAATGAAATAATATTCATAAAGCACTTAGAACAGTCTGGCACATGGTAAGCCTTAAGTACATGTAAACTGTGTTATTATTCTCTTCATTATTATTAAAATTATCAATAAAGTTTTTCCTGTCTCTAAAAATGAAACATTCAGATCCCCCTATTGGCTAAAGTTTTCCCTCTCTATTTCTATCTGTCCTTGACCCCTTTTAGATAATAATTTCTAAATCTTGTAAGTGTATCTGTCATCTATTTTTCTCTTAACTTTGGCTTATTGGAGGCTGCTCACTGTGGTGGTTATGATTCTAGGCTCTAGAGACAGGTTGCCTGGGTTTGCATCATGATTCCCACCATGTTCTGATTGTGTGGCCTTGGGCAAGTTAGAGGACTTCTCCATGCCTTGGTTTTCTCACGTGCAAAATAGAAGTAATAATACTATCTACTTTCTATTTTTGTTGAAGGATTAAGAGAGAATTTTCAAAGTGCCTTTCACACAGTAAGTGTGCAGCCAAGTTTAGCCACAGCTATTATCAGTATCTATAGCAAGAAACCTGAGCATGTATCTGTAAACAGGAACTAAGAATCTATATCCCACAGGGTTGCGGTGGCATTAAGATGGATTACACCTGTGAGGCACTTTGTAGAACACTTAGCCTATGTTTCCTTCCCTCTCTCTACCTTCCCCTCGTCCACCTTTCCATACCCCACATGTAACTGCTTCCAAAAATGCTTTCTTTTTTTTCCATTTTTATTGATTGATTTTAAAGAGAGAAATATCAATTTGTTGTTCCACTTATTTATGCAGACATTGCATAAATTGATTCTTGTATGTGCTCTGACCAGGCCAGAACCTGCAACTGAGCTACCCCACCAGGGCTCATGTTTTCCTTTTGTACCTGAGAAGATCAATTCCAATGATCTCTCCCTCTCCTCTTACAACCCTTCTCTTAGTCCCCCCAGCTCCCCTTGCCTTCCATCAGTACTGTTCACCCTGGCTCCAATAGAATCTGGTGGCTTCACGTCAGACTCTGGGACCTACCTTCACCCAGAAGAGGGGCCCTCATCAGAAAGTAAGGGGCAGCACCCCATCAGCTGGAGCTGCTCCCACAATGACCTTGATCTCTCCTGCTTTGTGCTTCTGTAAACAAGACTCCTGCTTGGGAACCAAAATCCCCCAGGTACTCTAGTTGATATCCCTGTGCCTTGCTCTCCTACTGGCTATTGCTAGAATTCCATGAACACCAGATCTAAACTGACTCTGAACCAAGTTGGCCTCCAACACCTGCTCTGACTCTGTTTGGAACAACATCCTAAAAAGCACTGGGCATGGTTTATGCATTTTTTGGCCCCCGTTACTCTTAATCTTGCCTATTCGCCCTCCCATCAACCACCTCCCCCAACTGCTTTTGTAGCCTGACCTCCACCTTGGTTTCCACTTCCTAGTCACAATTTGTCAAGCCTACCAAATTGTCCTCTAACTTTGAATGGAATCATAAATACATTTTTTTAAAATCCTATCACAATGCCTCCTCTATCTGCTCCTTCCTTCCTAAAGCAAATGGTCAGAAAACTTAGCCTTGGCCTTCCATCAGTACCAAGGTTTTCCCACAAGGCTTGTCCTTTCTCTTCTGATAGGATCTTCAAAACATAGCCAACTTCTCTGCTGATCTGAAGCCATGGACTCCCACCCCCCTGGATTTGAACTACTGCCAGTATGTGTCTCGAAATCATTCTGACTTATTCATCAACATCCCTTCTACATAAAATTCTTTCTGAGCAGCTGTTGTTTATCAAACAGATCCTCTCCTTTAAACTTTCCTTGAAAGCTTTTTCTTTTTCCTTCCTTCCTTCCTTCCTTCCTTCACAGGATCAGCATCCATTTTCCTTTGTTGTCCCTTCCGTCTGCAGTGCACTCCTGTAGTCACTGTGAAAAGGGATACAGAAAACCTTCCTCCTTTCCTTCACCCCATCCAACCTGCTGTTCCCCCATCCTTCTTGCTTCTTGCATTCAGCTTTTTCCCGTCATACCTCATTTTAAAAATATCCGTGTCTGGCTGACTGCTGCCACTGGCCATGTTCTTAACACATGACAGGAAAGGCAGAGATGGTCCCCGTTCTGCTCTTGCAGCTTTTCGACCTTTATCAGTTCTTCAAACCTCATCCCCACCCTAGACTCCGCAGTTGTCCGTCCGTGCCCTTAGCTCTGGATCTGCCTTCAGATGTTCCAGAAAGCACTCTTCATACTCAGAAGTGTATTTAATCTTTGCCTTTTTTCATGGTCTTCAAAGCACATCTCCTTTAACTCCCAAAGTGAACCCACCAGTAGGAAAATAGGTATTCTTTGGCTTCTTAAAGAAACAAAAAAAAAAAAACAACAAAAAAACGAGGAAAGAAAGAATTCATGGTATCAAATAACTTGCCCAAGGTCATGGTGCTTAGAAAATGGCAACATAGACTTCTTTGGAATTCAGGACTTCTGATTTCTGACTCAAAGTTATGACTGTTGTAGAGAAAGTAATCAGGCTTTTGGAATATGTTTATTGTAAAGCTGCTAGAAAAAACACATATCTCTTTGGTAATGCTTTGCCAGTTTTAAAAAATGCAATGACACCATAATTTTTAAAACAATGCAATGACACCATAATTTTTAAAACAATTTTTAATATGAATGAGAGCTGTTTCACAAATAGAGTGATGATATCAGCAGTTGCTGTAAAAGTATAATTTTTTTATCTTTTCATATGGACATTCATATGTCTTCTTTCTTTCCCTGCTTCCAATATTTATTTATTTATTTATTTATTTATTTATTTATTAATTTCAGGTGTACAGCATATAGTGATTAGACGTTTATATAGCTTACAAAGTGATCCCCCAGTAGGTTTAGTACCCACCTGACATCATGCATAGTTATTACAATATTATTGACTATATGCCTTATGTTGTAATTTACATCCCCATGACTATTTTGTAACTACCAATTTGTGCTTAATACTCTGGTTTCTCTTCTGAACATATAAATCTTTCATCTTAAGAGTATAATTTGAGGGATATAGGAAAGTTGCCTCATCTCAAAATATCTACATAGGGAGGATGCCAAAAATACCTGTGTAAGGTCAACATCTATATTACTGCTAATTAGAGAGCCAATCCTTGGCTAAAAGGATCACTGCTCTTTAAAGTCCACTTAACCTAGAGATGGGAGTTGAGGGTGTCACTTTATACCTTCTCAGCTATTAACATTTTAATGTAAACGAAATAATCTATTCTTTCCAGTACAACAGCTAGAGAGAGTATAGCTGCCTGCATTGTCAACACATTCAGAACATGGGTTTCCGTGAAGGAGAATTGAAGAGAAGTCTCCAGAAGCTGGGTGTACCCGAGGCCCTGCAGTCGAGGAGACTGCAGACAACACCTGGTCACTGGGGGGGGGGGGGGCACAGGAAGGGAGCAGAAGAGCTCTAGCAAGGGACACCTTGCAAAGAGCAGCTACCTCATTTGGGAGACCCAGTACCATAAAAAGTATTAAATATTTTTAGACGGTGACAGCAGAGCATTAACCTACCTGCAGGGTCCTTCTCAGCACAGGGGGTGGAGCCTATGTGAGGGCACAGGTCTCAAGCCCATGAAGCCAGGCCCACCTCGGGGTGTTTTTAGGTCGGGTGTTTGCGGATGGGCCTGAATCCTGTGTCCGGTGTCCTGCAGAACAGACACCCAAGGGCTTTGCTCTGAGTGCTGCCCCTGCATCCGGTGTTTGTTCATTCATTCAGACATTTACTGAACACCTCCTACTGAATGTACATTGGGCACCCAGGTGTAGGAAGATAGATTCCTTAACAGACTCTGTGTTTCTCAGAGCCACAGTTTCATTATCCATTAAATGATGAGAGCCTGCTACGTGCCAAACGCTCTTAGACTGTATTCAGGGAAAAAAATTCTCAATTAAGTTAGAGAAAAAGCTATATACTATATTTCTTAGAACCCTCTCCACTTGGAGATTTACAAAAAGTATTGATGCATTAAAGGATCTGAAAAGTTCCCCAACCTGGACACCCATGGAACTTCCTTTTAAGCATTCTTCCACATTGGCCCCCTTTCCTCAAAGACTGCCTAAATGGAGAGAAAGAAGTTGTAAAATAATGAATACAAACTGTTCTTTCGGAAGCCCCGTGGTGCAGAGAAGACTGGAGATGGCATAGGGATGTGAGCCTGGGTGGGACCATCCAAAAGGGGAAAGGAAAGGGTGGGACTGGCTGATTGGAAGCATCCAGCTTCCAATGTAACAAGGCAGACAAATGACAGAGAGCTGATACTTCTTACTCTGCAGTGTACCAGCCTTTTCCTGTCCTCTCAGACCCTCTTTAACAATGACCTCTGGTCCAAGAGGTCCAGGCTGCATACTGTCCAGCGTTTTTTACAATCTGCCCCCACCACGTATAGCTGCCTCCACGGAGAAGCCCAGGACATGGCTAACAGCAGAGAAAAGGACAAGGCAGTGACTTCGATACTTAACATGGGGCTTGTTTCATGACCAAGTCCAGAGTTTGAGCATTCAGAAGAATCAAAATCCTGACGCCACCCCCCAACCCCCCAACCCCCCAACCCCCCATAAAAAAAATGACAGTGCCTGATTATTGTGATCCAACATGACAAAAACAGGCGATTTGTATCCAGATCATAAATCCGCATTTTAGAATTCAAATGGTTTAGAGATGAGTCTGTTATGTTAAATGGATATTTCCAGTGTAACAACAATGACAAAGCCATTTGGTAGATTCCTCATTCTCTGGCACGACATTATTTTTATTGGCTTTAAAGCAACTTCTATTAATAGATGCTACAGTTCTCACTGCAGATTCACGAGTCTGTGATTCTCCTTTTAATAATACTTTTGAGCATATTTTGGACTAAAATAGGATCTCTTTTTTCCCAAGTAGAAGGTCAAACTCAGTGCAAGGCACCCACAAGGGTTTTATTTAGAGGTACATCGATGGATTAGTCCATTAATTCTTATAACATTTGTTCATTAAATAGTGAAGTGGGCAACAGTCATTTGGGACTGAGCGCTGCTAGTGGGACTCGTAAGCAGGCAGCCACTACAGCATGAGGTGGACCAGATGTCAAGGAGCCCAGTGCTGATCCTGGCTCTGCCCCTAATTTCCTGTGTGACCACTTGTTCATTCTAGGCCTCTAGGTCCTATTTGTAAAAAGAGAGGTGGGACATATCAGTGGTCCCTTAGTCTTCTGGTATGAGGAGACCTTTTATAAAAGTAAAATAGCCCTAACCGGTTTGGCTCAGTGGATGGAGCGTCGGCCTGCCGACTGAAAGGTCCCGGGTTCGATTCCAGTCAAGGGCATGTACCTTGGTTGTGGGCACATTCCCAGTGGGAGGTGTGCAGGAAGCAGCTGATCGATGTTTCTCTCTCATCGATGTTTCTAACTCTCTATCCCTCTCTCTTCCTCTCTGTAAAAAATCAATAAAATATGTTTTTTTTTAAAAGTAAAATATTTCCTGGACTTCAACCTGACAGTTGAATTTTGAAATCCATAATGCTTATAAATTAATTTTCATTCTAAGACTCACAGCGATTAGTGATGCATATGTATGCATGTTTACTTGGCCATCTGATGATGCTGAGAGAACAAGTGGATTCAAAGACCCCTCCAATAAGATGCCTTTTCTATCCTGGGATTCAGTGATGGGGAAGTGATTGGCTGGCTCCCCAAAACTTCTCTCAGCTATTGCATTCTTTGAGTCTATGAGCCTTTGTTTTTGTAGAGAACAATGGAATTGCAATAACAGACAGTCATAACATTTGCCAAACATCTACTAGGAAAGAGATGGTTTAAAAAAATCTGGCCTTAAGAACATTCTACAAATCTTCATGTCAGGAGGAATCCAAGACCTAAAAAGAATGAATAATATATCCAAAATCACATAACAAATTTTGACCTTTTTTTAAGAATCTGAATTGAACTTCCAATTTTGCTCAAATGAAATTGGCTAAATTTAGGATATTTTTTTTTCCAAAAGGCTATTGTTTTCTGGGGTGGGAAACCTAAGTGGGTTAAGCACAAGTTTAAGAGAAAGAGGAAGTTCACATTCTAATCCTGCTTTTGACGGTGACCCTGAACTAATCCTATAATAAAACCCTAATATGCAAATCGACCAAACAGCGGAATGACCCGTCACTATGACATGCACTGACCACCAGGGGGCAGACGCTCAATGCAGTAGCTGCTCCCTGGTGGTCAGTGTGCTCCCACAGGGGGAGTGCGGGGAGCGCAGCTCAGCCGGGAGCACAGCTCAGCGGCGGTGGCGGGAGCCTCTCCCACCTAGCGGCACTAAGCCGGCAGGCAGACATCCCCTGAGGGGTCCTGGACTGCAAGAGGGCGCAGGCTGGGCTGAGGGTCACTCCCCCCCCGCCCCCCAGTGCATGAATGTCGTGCACCGGGCCTCTAGTTGCTATATAAACCAGGAAAATTGTTTATCTCAAATAATTTCAGTTTAGATTACTTATTATTAAAATCTGGAAATAAGTACTATGACTTTCTTTTTTCTGTAAAAAGGGATAGTTTGCTCAATCATGTTTTCCTGTTGCCGTACATATATAAGTCAACAATTTTCAAAAATGATGGTAAAAAGAAAGGACCCAGTACATTAGTACTAAATTGGATACATTGTAATCATGGTTTATGACTTAGAAAGCCTTTCCATATCCTGCTTAAATCTTCTCATCTTAAGTAGTACTAAATTAGTTGTGACCTTAGCACCTAATTAAGAATTCCAGTTGCTTCCATGGTGTCTAGCTCCTGCGACAAGACATTCATTTAGGCTTGTGCATGCCAGCATTTCACAGAAGTGACAGGAGGTCATTTACACATTGAGCATGAGAGATGCACCTGTCCCTTTTAAAGGTAATAGTAATGATTGATAATAATAAGATGGCCTAGGAAACTCAGAAAATGCTCACATGCACATCCATGTTACAGGAGAATGACTAAAGAGCAATAGCGTGACCATCAGAAGGCAGGAAGGGAAGGACCATATTCCATTGCAGGTTGACGTCTTCAACTTTTTTCGTCATCCTATTTCTTTTAATCCTATTTGGCACCTCTAGACACTGGAAGAACTTGAGAACAGAATTTTGGAAGTGAGACACAGAAAATAATATGCGATCCCAAGGCCTTTTTCTTTTCTCTCCCCCACCCCCACCCAAAACAGGAAACAGTCTGTCTTACCCTCCCATTTAAGAGTCAGCGGCAAGATCTGCAGTTGTCTTTGCACATCCTTACCTTGGAGGCCCGAAGTTGGAATGACATCCAGAGACCTTACTTGTAGCTTCCCAGACAGGATAGAAAAATGCTTCCAGTGTGCGTCATATCATTGTTTACATGTTTTGATTAATCACTGTAGTTTGGTGGTTTTGTCTTTTTTTAACTACAATTATCTAAGAGGAGGAATATATGTGCCATCAGCTTCCTACACTGATGTGTCCCAAAAATATTCTCTGATTCCAAAACTTGTTTAAAATAATTTTAAAGCGCAAATTTCCACCTGTTGGTATAGTTTTATCAACCTAGCTTTTACATTTATCCATATCCCTCTGAGTTCCCAGCTAATCACAGAGATCCCTTAATTTGTGAATTTTGAAGATCTCATTTGAAGAACAGGAATTAAACATTTTGATTTACTTATTTTTAAGGACAATGAAAGCCCTAGAGATCGGTATGGATTTACTTGACATCACAGTTCCTGAGACCATAACAAGAAGTCCTCTGGTAAAACAGATTATGCCAACTGACTCTCTCTCTCAAGTGGTTGCCAAGACAACCTTTTCCTTCTTCTCGGCTAGGAGTTAATTGACTGTTAACCTGGGTGTTCAGAAGAAAATTGGCTAATTTTCAAGGGGGTGGAAATGGAACTCAAGATATACTAATCCACTGAATTTCCATTGAATTGTCACTTGATGTGTGTTGGCTTTTATGCCCTACAAATACTTTGGACCACAGCCATTCCAGAGAAAGTGTTTATGTTTAAAATTCTAGGTCAGAATCAGTCAAAACATTTATGTGTAAGTTCTCCCTCCTTGCCATGCCATGACTTGGGGAAAGCTTGGTCCGAGGTACCCCGAGTTACAGCAGCAGACATTAGCCTTGCTTGACTCCTGCCCGAGCTCTCAGAGATTTTACCCAAGAGGCACATTAACATCCACACTTTTTGTTCTAAATTTACTGTACCAAACTTTACCGAAGGAATTCCAGATTTGAAAATAATAAAAAGCCAAGGAGCGTTGAGTCCCATTGTTAGCCCAGAAGTGAGTCACCGCTGCAGAATTTCTTCTGTCTACTGATTAGACCGGATGCGTGCTGGGTGGTACGGCAGGAAAGGCTGCTGCTCTCTGTATGTGTGAGTTAATAGTCACAAAAGGTCACAATTTTAACATGTTAAAAACCAAATCTCCCTCCTGAGCATCTGGAGGGGTTTTGGTTTTTCTTTTGTGTGTGTGGATGTGTGTGTGTGTGTTTCCCCAAAGCATTCTCCTAGGAGCAAAGGGAAAAAACTAGATATTTTTCCTCTTCTAACCTGAGTTTACCCCCAGCTGACACAGCTACGTGCTTCTCCGCATGCAGACTGAGACGACGCTGATTTTCAGGGTTGTTGAGGTGAATGTGGTGTGAGATAGCTGCCATTTCTGGAGGAGCAGTGGCCCTGGGTCCTCTCTGGCCTGGCCAAACATAGTGTTCTTATTCTGTGGCCACAGAGCCACCAGGTCACTTAGCCGCACCACTTTTGCAATAAATGGAATGACTTTCTTTCATGTGGAATGGGGCATAATTAGGGCGAACAAATAATTTATCATCCGAACCAAGCCACTTCTGAGAAGGAAAGGTGGCCCTATTAATAATTACACAGGTCAGCAGGAGTGAGCCAGAACGGTGCCAGACAAACCAGAGGTATCATCACCCTGGGCATAGGGCGAGCTAAGCGTTTACCAAAAGGATAAGAAAAAGAATATGCAGCATTGATTTGGTACTCACTGAAGGACAACCACCGCGCTTAGCATTTTATGGAGTACCTCCTTTAACCCTTGCCAAACTTGAAACCTTACTAGGTAAATAATTGCTATTTGCCAGGTCAATGGTTTTCAAAATGTTTTTGTGAACAATGAATGGGAAGACACAATCTCCCACAAAACACCACTATGGAAAGCCAATAAAAAGCTGAACTGCCCTGGTCACAGCTGGCATCGGGAGCGAGTTCTAAAGACACAACCTCCTCCTCCACCAGCCTCGGCCCCTCAGGCACCGCTGCAGAACCCTGGGTTCCTGGGATTTCTGGGATAGCCTGCAGCTAGACATCGATATGCTCTGACTCATTGAATCCTCACAATCTGATGAGCTTTATTATTAATGTCACCTTATAAGTGAAGAAACCCCAGCCGGGAAGGAGTAAATGATGTATCCAAAATTGTAAAGCTAGTAGGTTCAAAGGCAAGGATTCACACTTGAATCTGTCAGACTCTAAACCTACTTCTTTCCACATCACCTGCCTCCACCATAGCAGACATCATGGTTAATATTTAGACACATGTTTGGCTCTTTCCGCCTAGGCTTGCCTGACTTAGACGGTATTGTGTCCTCTGCTAGGCGTGTTCTCAGCTCTCCGAGGCCATCAGAGGCCTCATCCCAGGGCCTTGCAGCCAGTTCTGTTGGACCAAATAGCACCAAAGAGTAACAGTGAAAATAGCTAGCAATGTGGTGTCTTTATGTGCTCAGCTGTGTGCTAAACACTTTATGTGGATTCTCCCATTTATGTCTCACAGCAGTGCTGTGAGGTAGGCACTATTATTTTAGTACCTCATCATTTTGAAGATGAGAAAACTGCAAAGATTACAAAATAAGGCAAAGCAGCTCGTAAGTGGTAGAGACAGGATTTGTCTTGACTACAGTGTGTGGTGGTGTCTTTTTCCTCTTAATGTCCCCTACTGGTAATGAACCTGACACCTTAGCATCCCAAACCCAAACCTTTCCAAACTCACGACCATGCTCATAGTGAACTGGGTCCGTTTCCCCTGTTTTTACATGACCTTACTCTTTTTTGATAAACTAACTCCTGCTGGGCAGTAGGTATTGTAGCTTAATGTATTTTACCTCCCGGAGAAACAGATTTGTGTTTCAAGAGGAATCTCCAAAGAGGGACCGTCTTTACCCACAATGTATTGAGTAATGGTGGTGACATCAGGCACTACCCAAATGATGATGGTCTAGCTATTTTGGGCCCCATAAGCCTTCTTCACTGAAGCATCATTTTGAACAACAGGGATGTATGTTAAACTTGGTTAACCTTGGTTGAGTTTAAACCATGATCTATTGGAAGTCAAGGATTATTTTAATGCCTGATCTTTAAAAGGGAGTTAGAAGATGCCTTTTAGAGTTCATTTAAAAAACACACACACACACACACACACACACTCACGAGCATTCTTGCTTCTTACCTTTGTGGACCAGCTTGCGTTAGGAATTTTACACCACTAATAAAGATCCAGACTTCAGCAAGTCCATGGAGCCTTGTCTGAACCTATGGGCCAAGTCAGAACCTTTCTGGAAGATAAATTATTTCAGGGCTCTCCTGAGAGTTTCATAATTAATCTAGCACTATTTTCCATAAATATGTTTTGTACACAGGCACTATATTAGGTTCTTGGGTATATTTTTGACTATTGTCACCCTATAAAAAGACTGTATTTATCTCATAATGAGTAACGTCCCCCAGATAATCTCAGATTTTAAGTTCTTATAAAGGTCCACAGAGTGTTCTGTATACCAATATATTCAATTAGTTATTCCATATTTTCAAAGATGATAGTGATGAGTTCCTGAATTTGAATCAGTCTCCAGTGAATGTATGGTGTGAAGCCCTTTGCCCTCTTTCAGCTGGGAGTTTATCTGTTGTCATGTGACATGAAAATGGCATGGCCTATGTAACCTGGGTGTCCTACTTCTTTATAAATGATAAATGAACATGCTTGTTAAATATCTGGAAGACACAAAGCTGGGAATGGTAAATGGAAGCCTAATGAACTGAATGAATAGTGATGATGTCAGTAAATAAGAACACTGTGCTAACACCAACATGTTGAACTTAATAGGAATAAATAGAAAGTCCTACATTTAATTTTTAAAATTCAATAATGTAGGTTCAGGGTAGGAGAGAGCTCTAATTTTCATATTAAAAAAACCCAACCTGCATACTTTTTCATTAACCTAACGCTCCACGTGCTGAGTACTGGCCACCAGGTGGACACGGTGGGATCTGACCACCAGATGCATCTGCAAATGTAAGTTAATTGGCCGATAATGTGCAACTCAAGGGAGAAAATGTTCCCACTGACTTGATCTCATTGGGAATAGACACAACACTCTAAGAAGGTCATAGTTGATAAAACAGCCTATAGAAGAGGGAGACTAGACTGGTGAGTGACAGGGAAACCAGGCTGGATGGAAATATTGAATGACCACAGGATGTTTAGTCTAGAGAAGAAAAGAGTATGGGACTTTGATGGTTGTTTTCTAGCATTTAGGGAGCTATTGTGTGACTACAGGAGGAGCCTTAAGCCTTTTTTGGGTTATTTTGGTTCATCCAATGGGGTGACAGTTAGAAAGGGGTGGATTCATTTTGATGTCTTCATGTTTTCCTGCCAACTTTGAGGAAGGCTGCCCCTGAGGAGCCTCACCCCACAAGGATTCCAGCAGAAACGGGCTGACCATCTGCCACGGAGACTGCTCTCTCTGCAAGGCTAGCTTGTGTGGGCGATTGACATGAGTGATCTCTGAGGATCTCTTCGATGTTAATTCTTCCATTTTTATTTTTCAAGTTAAGGGGGAAGTAACTTAAATTTTCATGTACCTTCCTTAAGCCTTCAGACACCCAAGGATTTTGCTAGCCTACTACCAAGTCCACTTCCTCATCTTCCCCACCTTCACTGGCTGAGACAACCTTGACTTAGTTAACAGAACGTCATAGAAAATACACTCCGAATGTCAAAATACACTGCTGACCCATTTGTAATAGTTATGAAGACCTAGACTGTGTCTCATTCATTCACCAGTTGGACATGTAAATACCAGTGATCATCAGAACAGACAGGAAGGAGGAAAGCTTGCCTCAATTGAGCTGAATAGAGAGAGGAAATTCACAAGACCAGAGCCCATGAGATCCATTAGCACATTCAAGGCTCCATACATCTGCAGTTCAAGGGGGAGGAGTAATGGTGCCCTGAGCTGTGTGAGTGCTGGAGGGAGGGAGGCAGGTACCTCTCAGTCCCTGCAGCTGCCCTAAAATTTACTGTGGCTGTATCGCTCGAGTTTCCCTGTCAATCTTCCAGACACCTGCTGTGTTCTAGGTGTGCCCAGAGGTCACCATCCAGCTAAGAGGAAGATTTACCACGGCCTCAGCTGCCCATTTCTGTTGCCAACTTATGACCAAGGAACACTTGGCCAGAAAGTTGCCTTCAGTACAACAAAATGTACCGTTCTAGGGGGAAAGACTGATGAAACACTTCTGCCAAAAGTGGATGTCACCAGAGACTGCGTATTTACCTCTTTATCTCTTACCAAATATATCACTTTGGCATCATGTAGATCTGTTTAGTTTAGAAGGGTGAGTCTTACTATCTGAATTTCTTGTATGCTTACATGTATAGAGGTTGACAAGTAAACATAGATACAAGCCCAGTTTTAGTTATTACCATTAACCAAAAATCATGTTACAGTGAGGCAACATACCTTTTTTTTAAGTTGAAGTGCTTACATGATCTTATATAATAAAAGGCTAATATGCAAATTGGCCAAACGGTGGAACGACCAGTCGCTATGATGTGCACTGACCACCCAGGGGCAGATGCTCAATGTAGGAGCTTCCCCCTGGTGGTCATGTGCTCCCACAGGGGGAGCACTGCCCAGCCAGAAGCCCTGAGCCAGGCTCATGGCTGGCGAGTGGCAGTGGTGGTGCTGGGAACCTCTCCCACCTCCGTTGCATTGCTAAGGATGTCCGACTGCCAAGGAGACCAGGCCTAAGCCATCAGTCAGACATACCCCGAGGGCTCCTGGACTGTGAGAGGGCACAGGCTGGGCTGAGGGACACCCCACTCCCCCTGGAGTGCATGAATTTCATGTACTGGGCCTCTAGTCTAAAAATAATTATTTAGAATGGTAACAACAGCTAAAACATAATTTCAAAATTAATTGTATGATTTCAGAGTTAGGGAAACTTTATAGAACTAAAAATAGTTACTAACTGTGATGCAGTTATTCAGTAAGCAGGAAAAATAAGTAGGATTTTATATTACTATCTGGTAGCTCTGCCAAGTATAAGAACCTTTTATTATTATAGAGAGCAAAATATGAGATAGTTGTTTTATATATAAAAGTATAATGAGAAACATCATTATTTCTCACAAAGGCTGCTACCTTCTACTAATCCAATAACAACGGGTGTGCTGAGTAACTAGTGATGATAATGTTGATAACAGAGGGGGAAAAGCAAGAACCAATCCCCTTTTCCAACTCAGTTAAAGGCTCACCCACTATTGTATTTAGACATCAGTATGCTCCACCCAGAGGCTGAGGTTGTTTCCATATAACACACTCAGACCATTTCAAGGTAGTTGTTCTTTGTAGTTGTAGAAGGAGGAACATTTCATAGTTGAGTTTTGTTTAGTAAACCAACTTTCATCAATTTTAATCCAAGTGTATGAACCATTTTAACATGAGATGAATGACAAGACACCTGAGAAGTAATACTAACATTCCAGATGTTCATTTCACTCACTCATTGAAATAATTGAACCTTCACAAGAACCCTATGGAATAGGTGCTATAGTTATCCCACTTTAAAAAGAAGGAAACCAACGCACAACAGGTTTTAAGAAACTTGTTCGTGATCCCACAACTAAGAACTGGCAGAGGAGAGATTTGAACTCAGACAGCCTGGCTGGTTTCCAAGTCCAAGTACTTAACCAAAAGGATGCACTGTCTCCCCAGTAATGGTAGGTCGGTGAAAGTAATCAAGTGTCTAGTGTGTACCAGGCGCTGTGTTAATCCCTTTGTATATGTTAGCATATTAAGTTCACCAGTTGGGTCATTCGGAAACAGGTAAGAGGGATAACAAAAGATTCACCAAGTCTCCTGTTGATTGGCGTAACACCCTAGCTTGGATGTGGTTTCTGTTACTTAAGATTGCAGGATGTTAGCAGTAAGAAATTACTGTATTATCTTTTCCTTGCAGAGGCGGAATGGTCCAAACCAGTGAGCAGTATGAATTCGTGCATCATGCTCTGTGCCTGTACGAGAGCAGACTTTCGGCAGAAACTGTCCAGTGATTCTCTGAAGATGTACCAGGCCATCAATCTCTAGGGGTGACTAATCAATTACCCACTTGACGCTTCTAGAAGAAGCTTCCTGCAATGAAAGAGAAGCCCTGAAGTCAAGCTGTGGCATGGACAGTGGAAGATGGCAACACAAGAAAGATTGCCAGCCCCTTGTGTATGTGAATGCATTTGTGAGCAGCTCCTAAGTTATTCTGAAGGTCCTATGCTGATGGAGGAATGATAGACTTCTCCCACAGCTAAGCAGGATTTTGTTTTGTCTGTATTGATTATCTGCCACCCGGAATGTGTGTATGAAACACCCAGTGATACATGTCATCAGATGATGACTGGAAGAGCTGCTGAAGAAATAATTATTGTGTGTTTAGATGCTTTAATGTTTGCAAAATCTGTCTTGTGAATGGACTGTCAGCTGTTAAACTGTTCCTTTTTTAAGTGCTATTATCTTTCTCAGTTACCAGAATCTTGCCGCTAAAAGTTGCAAGTGATTGATAAAGGATTTTTAACAAATGAGTCCTTGTTTTTGAAAAAGAATCAAAAGCAGTAACTATTTTATATGGAAATGTGTCTTGATAATATTACCTACTAAATGTGTATTTATCAGTACCTCCTATCAATCAATTACAGAGCACAATGATTGTCGGGTATCTATGTATTTATTCTCTATTATTGGGCATAGAGGTGGTTGCTTCTCCAGAACTCTATTCACTGTATTTCTACATTGTGAGTCACTTTACTGTAAAAGGGAAAAACAAATTTGTAGCAACTCTGACGTATCAAGAACTTTAGATACTTGTCTCTCTTTTACTAAGAGTTTTTGAGTATGCTATCTACCTGGAGTCTCTTGCCCGATAAAAGGCAGTTGCTTTGGGCATGACCACCTGTCACTTTTCCAGAGGTTCTTCTAAAGGCTGCTGCCATGGATATCCTTTCAGAAAGGTTTTAATCCTCAAGAGACAAATAAAGCTAAAAACAACAACACAAAAACTACACTCAGCAAACACTAGATGTTCTGCTCAAATATGAATTTCTAATGCAGCTATGTTGACTTTGTTTCATACTGCCAATAAACTACTCTTAATACTAAATGTTGAGTTAAGCAGGTACTTTTTTCCTCTTCGGAGAGCGGCTGTTATCTTTTGGGGGGAGTCTGCAGTAAATGATGTGAAGGGTTTAATTTTAGTCTCTGCCTCTCCCCAGAAGAGATGACTATCTCAACTGTAATACCCATTGTCATCACTTGAGGGATAATGACCTTGAAGTGCCATCATTATGTGGTTTTCCTTGATAAACTCCCAGCACATCATTATAGGAGCAGTACATGTTTATGTCTTTCCAGCACTTGTCCTAGACCCTCAGAAATCACATGGTGTGGGTTTATTCAGCAGAAACCCATCACCTGAAGAGATGTAATGTTGGGGGAGCATTTAATTATCTGAGATTACAATTCTTTTCTTCCCTCATGAGGTTAAGAGGTGCCAAAGGGATGGATTGGGGAGAAAACTTTGGAGTTTTATTCCACTCCTGGAGGCTGAAATTTTTTTTCTACATAAAAAAAGAGAGGTAATCATAATCCCTTCTTTCTAAGGAAACAGACAAAAGGACACTGGTGTAAAACTTCCCCAAACAATTCAATAGGAGGAAGTGCTCGTCACTGACTTTCCCCCCCATGAAGGCACATTTCCTTCCCTGGTCTTTGCTTCTCTTATCTGGGAGAATTTTTCCCCCCAAAGCGAAGCATGAGCAGTTGTTTAGTGGAAAATGGAGGCTGAATTTTACATGGCGCTTCTTACCTGCTTGATCTTCTGGAACCCAGGTGAGTGGGCCTGCCTCAGGGTCCTGACCCGTTTCTCTGGCAGCTGGCAGACGAGATTCTGTCCTTTGAAAAGTGCCTGAAATGAAGCGGAAATGGAGCCAGGTCTCCATGGCAGTTTAGCCGAAGATGAGGAGGAGGGGGGATAAAAGGAGCCAGGTCTGCCCACACTGTTGAAATTTCTCTCCAAACGAAAAGAAAAGGCCTCCTCACGGCCTGCAAATACCTCAGGCAGCTCCTGAAATGGCACCTTCACAGCAGAGAGGAGTCCTGAGGAGATATTTTTATTATATAACAAACAGTCTGGGCCATTCTCCATGCTTTTGTCCAATTAGGTTATGATTTTGTGTTGTTTTGTGTGTGAGTTAAAGAAAGAAAATGTAAGCAATATAATTGAAGGGGATGAAGAAGTGTGGTGTGTTTAATTTGGAAGTTGCTATTTGGCAGGAAGGTCTGAATATTTTCATGGGAGCGCTGGGCAAATGAAGTGTAAGCAATTAAAAATGGTTTCTGAGCCCAAATGTCTCACTTTTTAATACTGACGTTTAACAGCTAGGTATTTAATTTCTTATATTAAGAAATGCTGATAGTTTAATATGTTGATATTAAAGGGAAAAATTGCAGATATTGTTACAAAATAGAGAAATGATTCTAAGACTATACGAAATTTAGTTTGTGACAATCAATTCTTTCATTGGTTACTGTTCGCTAGGAAGGTGTGCTTAGAAGGATGTGAAAATTTCTTTTATTCTGGGGTAAATGCATCCAATTTTTAAATTTTTATTGAAACTGTGTAATTTATATACAAATATTTATTGCAATAATAAGTTAGGATTGCAAAAAAAGGGTGCCCTCTAAAGTTGGGGGTCGAGGTGGGGTGGAAAGAATAAAATGTTTAAAAGGGAACTGAGCTTTTCACAATTTCAGCATATTTAATTGGACTAAAACCTCACACCATCGTCTTTGAATAGTTTTGTTTCTTTTCTAAGCTTCCTGTCAGTATTTCAATGGGCGGGGTGGGAGGGGGGGGCAGGATTCTTCCCTAAGCCATGTGAAAGTAAAAGAAAGGGAGGTAAGGGTGACATTTTGACACTGTCAGCCTTGTGGTTTTAAGTTCCATGTGTTGAGTCTGGGAATATTCACTTGAAATGATTGCAATAGCAAAAGATAAGTGAGCCTCCCATTTTCACTGGGCTGATGTGTGGGCGGGTTGCTTTGTTTTCTGATGGGCCTTGTGATCTGTTACCTGGTGCTAGATGAGCTTTTCATCTTCCAGAGGGGTTTCAGATCGTCCATGTCCAGAAACAACAGTGCCTTTTCGAAAATAAGATCGTGTCCATGGGCTCGTGCAATGGGACTGAGCAGAACCAGCAGTGGATGTGGACTGAGGACGCAAAGCTCCTTCACCTGAAGTCTGCACTGTGCCTGGGCATCTCCAACTCCTCTGGTGGCCCTTCCCGATCAGCCATCTTTGTCCACTGCTCCCAGGCCCCCCGATGGACTTGCTATGAGAAGACAGGGTTCCTTGAGGTAAAAAATGCCTCTCTCTTTCTCAAGAAACAAGGCACCAAGGCAGTGGTCAAAAAGGGCAGGAAATACCTCCATAGCTGGATGAAAAGAGATGTCAACAAGGAGGGAAAACCAGTCAATGAAAGCCTCTGCTTAAAAAAAGGTGAGCTATTCCTTTCAGAATCAATGCTGAAAGTTCTGCTAACTGTCCTATTTTGTCACATTCAAGGGAAGTCTACGTGCCCCAACACAATTGCTATGGAAGATTCATAAGCTAATGGAAATGGATCATGTGGTGCCCACCAACGTGGAAAACTTCTTTATCCTCATTAAAATAAACCCAACTCTCTTTCTCTCTCTCTCTCTCTCTCTCTCTCTCTCTCCCACCCCCCTCTCCCTTCTTTTATTTCTTCTTTTATTAATTCAACAAATATTTCTTGAGTTTCTATTTCTTGAGTTTCTTTTTTGTGCCAGACACTAGGCACTCTAGTTAAGCACTCTAGGCATAGACAAGCATACATGTGTAATGTAAAGCCAATGATCAGGAAATTAAAAATTTTGCTGATGTAGATACTTCTGTTCTTTGTTTATGAAGAACTATTAGAACACCAAAATGGTGCTTGAGAAGACTGGAAAGATAACAAATTGTGCTTGTGCTTGCTACCTTATAATTGTGCTAAAGCAAGTGTTATACCTATATACATTCAAAATAGTTGTGGGTGTGGTTTTTGTTTTTTTGTGCCACAATTGTGCAAATTTTAACTCTGGTTTTTTTAGAAGTCCACCCCCCTCCCAACATACATTACCAGGTATGTTTATTCAGTGGTTAACTGTAAATGGTTGATTCTATCCACTTTACTCTTGAAGTCCATCATTGGACATGTTTTGTATGAACGTCAAAGGAGGTGGTTTTTCCATGAATTACCTTCCATCTTGAATTCTCCACTGAATCTGTATGTACTTTTTGGCATCTAAATAAACGCAGTGGGCTCTTTTATGATAGAAGTTGAGTGTTGTAGTCCCTATTCTTATAAAACTTGTGACTATGAGAATAAAATAAAAATATAAAAATCAGTTAGAAAAGTCAACTTTATCAGAGAATACGAAGCTGCATAGTATTCCATTGTGTAGATGTACCACAATTTCCTACTGCTCTACTGATGGGCACTTGGGCTGTTTCCAGATCTCAGCTATTGTAAACAACACTGCTATGAACACAGGAGTGCATATATTCTCTCTGATGGGTGTTTCTGGCTTCTTAGGATATAACCCGAGAAGTGAGATCACTGGGTCAAATGGCAGTTACATTTTTTTTTTTTTTTTTACATTTTTAATCTTTTGAGGAAACTCCACACTGTTTTCCATAGTGGTCGTACCAGTCTTACTAGGGTTCCCTTTTCTTTACATCCTCGCCAGCACTTGTTGTTTGTTGATTTATTGATGATAGCCATTCTCCAAGGTATGAGGAGTTACCTCATTGTTGTTTTAATTTGCATCTCTCTGATAATTAGTGACACTGAGCATTTTTTTATATGTCTCTTGGTCATCTGTATGTCCTCTTTGGAGAAGTGTCTATTCAGGTCCTCTGCCCATTTTTTTAATTGGGTTGTTTGTCTTCCTTTTGTTGAGTTGTATGAGTACTTTATGTATTTTGGAAATTAACCCTTTATCAGATATATCATTGGCAAATATGTTCTCCCATACAGTGGGTTCCCTTTTCATTTTGATCCTGGTTTCTTTTGCTGTGCAGAAGCTTTTTATTCTCACATAGCAGAATTTTCACTGATACAACTCCTAGGGCAAGAGAAACAAAGGAAAAAATAAACAAGTGGAGCTAAACCAAATGCCTTTTTTAAAAAAAGTTGATAAGTAAATATTATAATCTAAAGTACAAATATGAATGTTGTTCATCCATAAGATGTGAACTATTTTATTAAATTCTTCAGTAAAGGACACTTTCTGAAATTTTAATTATTCCTTTTACTATTTCCAAGAGTTATTTAGGCTATTATAATCTCCTTCCCTTTCACTTCACCTTTATTCTAGCCCAATCTTGTTTAATATGTTTAATTTAGTTATATAAATATATATACATATAAACATAAAGCATTCTTTGTCTAAGTCATCATCTGTTTTGTTTATCTCTTTTCCATATTATTTTCCCACTTTTAAAAGGCACATTATATTTGGCATCTTCCTAGAGATAGAAAGTAACAACATAGTTAAAAATTCCTACCACCAAAATGAGTTTTATTCAAGTTATTATGTTTTCAACATGCTTGAAAATTAAAGGAGAGAAACGAAATTAAAGGAGGGAAACTAACAAATTGTGTATTGTCTTTATAATAATTATACAAAATTCCATTTCTATTATTGATTATATTTGAGCCAATCACTGATTTTTTAAAATATATTCAAAATCTGATCTTAATATGGTGCAGTGATTGCAAATCACCTTATAGGTAAGCTATTTGCAACATAAACGCAAAACTTTTTAGACTGGACAAGGATAATTCACCTTTTCTGGAATCATGTTCTAAGAGGAATTGTGTATAATGTGAAAACAATGTAGCAGCAATGGTACAATAAAGCTTTTTAAAAATAGCTTCAACATATTGTTCCATTGTGTGACAACTTTTCCTTGCATTTGTCAAAACACATCTTGCTCTTTCATGAACTGTAAAATGTATGTACCTTTTAAAGCACAACAGAATTTATAGGTATCCAAACAGCCAAAGATCTAC